AAGAAAAAGAAAAAGAAAAAGAAAAAGAAAAAGAAAAAGAAAAAGAAGAAAAAGAAAGCATTTGCATTACTTAAAATGTTATTTTGCCAATAGAACTAGACCTGAGTAAAATACATTTATCAAAACTGGTAGCTATTTGGTTTAAAAAATCCTGCCAATTAATGTTGCTGTGATGTATTGATTTTCTTCACAGTGATTAATGAGTAAAGCAGTAGAACCTGGGCTTATGGCTGTAAAAGAGAGAAAAATATTCTATTTGGGTAAAAAAGTATAGACTTAATACTGCCAAAGTATTATTTCAATTCAGTTTCACTGTTCACTACATAACCTCAGCAAATTAAGCCAAACTTCATACCTCCCTAGTAGAAGAAGCTTCAAAGTAACAACTCTATATTTGGAAAAAATAAGTTTTGAATAAGTAAAAGTTATATTCCTAAAAACAGCAGCATCTTTTATGAGGTACCTGTTCAGCAATTAGCACTGGTTGCAAGAGTCTTAATGAACACCTTTGGGAGCTTATACATTAGAAATATTAAAAACAATTTATTAATTACTAATGGTTAATGAATGCATTTTCAAAAGGTTCTAACAAGTGAAGACATCATGCCTCTTGTTACACACCCCAGATTTCCCAGATGAGTTTTGGATAAGCCCAGAACAAACAGAAACTGAAGGACAAGGACGGACCTAAAGCTCAACCCACCCCTGTGTTTAGTGCCTCAGTCTCACCAAATTCCCAACCAAGGCACTTCAGCCTCACGTGTCTTTTTTGAACACACTTGTCTCTAAGTTCAAACCCAAGTTTTTGTAGTTGAGCAAGTCCCACCTATTAAAAATATCTGGCAGGTAAATATTTTAAGGGTCTAAGTGAAGGCTTTCAATAGCACAGATACTCTTTCCTTCTGGTTCACCCTTTCTGTTTTTCTCTTATTTGTCCCTTTTATCTGTTTTCCTTCTATCCATCTCCTCCATTCATTTAGTCCCTGAATGGCTCATCTTCCATCATTCATCTTCCCTTTCAACCTTCATTGCAAAACTCCTTTTACCTCCTCTCTTGAGAAAGCTATAACTGGAATAGAACATTTACACATTGCTGTGGAGCTCTTGTAGAAAATGTATGAACTTTTCCAGGAAAAAAATTGGAAATGATAATGAACTTATGATTACAGAAGAAAAAAGTTCTCTAAGGCTAAACAGCAATGGAGTATTCAGTATTTCTAGTTTCTTTTTTTTTTTTTTTAAATCTGCATTTATATTCTTTCTGATAGATGATTTTGACAGAATAACAGTTTAGACTGACCCTACTCAAAAAAAAAAAAAAGAAAAAAAAAGAGAAAAAGACCTATATTTAAAAAAAAATTAGAGACTCAGTAGCTAAATACTGGGAAATAAAAGACAAATATAAAAACTCAAATCCAGTCTCAAGGGTAACTGATAGAGAAGATGTTACAGGAATTGAGAGACCCTGGACATTTCTTAGGGAATAATTTAATAAATCCTGTAAATGGCAGAAGGCATCAGGCAGAAAGTTCTGAAGCTCCACAGAGAATCTTCCAAGAATTCATAACGCTGAAATAATATGCACTAACCAATGTGAAGATTGAAAGATCTGTGGATAAGAGAAGCACTTTAATGCCTGCAAGTGACTATAACATTCACTACAAAGCCAATTAAAGACCTTCTTGGGTATCTTTTTTAGTGCCCTGTGCAGTGGTAAAATCTTGCTCCTTAGGAGGTCAGACACCACAGAAGATGCTGCACTCCTGTAAGATTCCTGACATTGGTATGGCCGAAAGAAACTAATCTGAGCCAAAGACAATGTGCTAACAGGATTCAGCAAGAACATTTCAGCAATATCCTCCTGAAATCCAAAAGGAAGACGGAAAAGGGGGGGAAAGAAACAAATAAACTAAGCACAGCTGTCTTTCTTCAATTATTAAATTTTGTTTACGTGGCACTCATGTTGGCAAAAAAACCATATCTCTGAAAGAAAGGAATCTAGGGAAAACATAGAGAGACAGAAAAGACTCAGGGAGAAATTTAGAAGAGTTCGATTATGGCAATAATTCATAAAAATTTTAATATATGTCCCCCTCACAGTTAAGTAGGATAAGTTAGATTTATACAAATATTAACAAGGTACTTATAAAATAAAGAGTGCACTTATGCACACATTGCAATAACCAATAAATATCATAGAATTCCAGACTGGTTTGGATTGGAAAGCACCTTAAAGCTCATCTTATTCTACTCCCTGACACGGACAGGGACACCTTCCACTATCCCAGGTTGCTCCAAGCCCCATCCAACCTGGCCTTGGAAGATTCCAGGAATAGGGCCGCCACAGCTTCCCTGGGCTACCTGTGCCATGGCCTCACCACCCTCACAGCCAAGAATTTCTTCCTAATATCTAAATCCACCCTCTGTCCGTTTGAAGCCATATATATGAAGACATACATCTATGCCTATGGTTCAGTAAAAAAAAAGTCACTGCTCAGGTGTGTGAAAAGCAGAAGTCATAACATAGATTTCTCACAGCTTTAAGATGGATATGGATTTACTTGAGGTGTGCATCCATTTAGAAAGAAGGAAATTCAATCTCATGCAAAGCTGTGCTTCTTTACACGCTACAGAAAAGCGTCATTTTGCTTCTACATTTTCATCCAAAATGCTCTTGCAGAATTAAATACAAAGCTTTTGAGTTTATAGGGAATATGCACTTCACATACAATAGCAAAATTTGTCATTCCCTAAGAACTGGATTTAACAACTACTAAAATTTGCTAATCATAACATATAAAAGTACACCACATGCATGGATAGGAACAAGTGCTGGCAGATCACCCCTGTTCTCTCCTCATCCACAGACCTGAAAGGAAGGGTAAAAACAGCCAGCAAACTTCATATTGCAGCTTGACTTTTCTCTAAAATACTACTTTTCACTGTAGTAAAGAAAAAAAGAAGCCAAGAATCATTATAACCATTCTGGAAAATGTATATGAGAAATAATAAAGGGAGGCACCCTCTCACAGACCCTCCTTCCTGCCTGTTACTTTATACATGGGCCTGGGTTTCCATTAGATCCTAATGCTCTCTCAAATAAGGTAACACTATGGAAAATGCAGTTTTCACTCTGAAATTACCAGATTTTGTTCATAAAACTCAGTGATAAAATATAGTGAATGATTACTGATATTCTCAAAAACTGTCCCCTAAGATTTAAAGATTATCCATGAGACAAAGCTTCAGCATCCAAAATGCTGTCCAAGAACCAATCACCCAGACAGCACAAGTTTAGGAAGGGCACGTCCTGTCTGACCAACCTGATCACCTTTTATGATCAGGTGACCTGCCTGGTGGATGAAGGGAAGGCTGTGGATGTGTCTACCTGGACTTCAGCAAAGCCTTTGACACCATCTCCCACAGCATTCTCCTGAAAAAGCTGCAGCTCATGGCTTGAACAGAGGCACTCTGTGCTGGGTTAGGAACTGGCTGGAGGGCCGGGCCCAGAGAGTGGTGGTGAACGGGGCTGCATCCAGTAGGCGACCGGTCACTAGTGGTGTCCCCCAGGGATCAGTGTTGGGCCCAGTTCTGTTTAATATCTTTATCGATGATTTAGATGAGGGGATTGAGTCCACCATCACCAAATTTGCAGATGACACTATCAGCAAGTTGGGGGGGAATGTTGATCAGCTGGAAGGCAGGAGGGCTCTGCAGAGGGACCTGGACAGGCTGGAGAGCTGGGCTGATTCCAACAGGATGAGGTCCAACAAGGCCAAGTGCTGCGTCCTGCACTTTGGTCACAACAACCCCATGCAGAGCTACAGGCTGGGCACAGAGTGGCTGGAGAGCAGCCAGGCAGAAAGGGAACTGGGAGTTTGGATTGACAGGAAGCTGAACATGAGCCAGCAGCGTGCCCAGGTGGTCAAGAAGGCCAAGGGCATCCTGGTCTGGATCAGGAACAGCGTGGCCAACAGGTCCAGGGAAGTGTTTCTTCCCCTGTACTCAGCACTGCTAGGGCCACACCCGGAGTGCTGTGTCCAGTTCTGGGCCCCTCAGTTCAGGAAGGACATTGAGGTGCTGGAGCAGGTCCAGAGAAGAGCAACAAGGCTGGTGAAGGGACTGGGACTGGAGCACAAGTCCTATGAGGAGAGGTTGAGGGAGTTGGGGCTGTTTAGCCTGGAGAAGAGGAGGCTCAGAGGAGACCTCATCACTCTCTACAGCTCCCTGAAAGGAGGTTGTAGCCAGGTGGGGGTTGGTCTCTTCTCCCAGGCAGCTATCAGTTAGACAAGAGGGCATGGTCTTAAGCTGTGCCAGGGGAGGTTTAGGTTGGATATTAGGAAGAAATTCTTTATAGAAAGAGTAATGAGGCATTGGAATGGGCTGCCCAGGGAAGTGGTGGATTCTCCATCCCTGGAGGTTTTTAAGATGAGACTGGATGTGGCACTTAGTGCCATGGTGTAGTAACCACAGTGGTAGTGGATCAAGGGTTGGACTTGATGATCTTGGAGGTCCCTTCCAACCCAGCTGATTCTATGATTCTATGATCTCCTCATATGTGTCAGCAGTAAAATATAATAGCACAACCAGACATGAAGATGCATACAAATCCTTCTATTTTCATTTCCAGAAGCAAAAAGCCAGTGAAATGCATATTTATCAATGTCATGCTAAGACACAAAATCTGGCCTATAAAACATAAATACTTAAACACAGCCCTGATGCTGAAAACATTTCAACCATAAATAACAGCTTTAAAAATGTGTAAAGCAAATCTGGAGTATCATTCCAATAAATTAGCAAAAAGGACCTATTGTAGTTACAAAATTTCAAAGTCCAATTTATTTAACACAAAATTAGTCCAACCAGCTGCAGATGTTGTTCACAAGCTCCTTGTGTCCAACATCTTTCTTTGAAATCTGGTTTCTCTGAGGCTAAATCTACATTAAAAAAAAAAAAAGGTAAAAAGAGGGGCAATAATTATTTGTTATCTCTTTCCTCTGTCCTTGCTGTTAATTGAATTTCTTCTGGCTAAGGAAAATAGACTGGAAGTATCAAATCAGTCACACTTAATTTTATTGAGAACTATGAAATGTAAATGCAAAACAAACATTAAAAAAAACAAGCTAGAAAGGAAGATTTTGGCATTTAAGGATATTTGATGATAGCATCTTCTCCATTGCCTTTAACATTAATTTCCTCTCCATTATAAGAATTTTATTTGCATTAGCTCTCACAACCTGATTTTGCCTCCCTCTCCCTCCTGATATAAAAGCTGAGATATAAAACAAAAATTAAAATAGGTTAACATGACAAAAAAATAATTTCTGCAACATGTAACTGGTTGGGAAACATTCAGAACCATGAATGTTTTTTCCCTCAACCTGTTTCTGTATGTTACTCATTTAGTCAGTCTGACCCATTTCCAAGTCTTACAGAAACTCGTATGTTTTTTAACCCTTGAATAATCCCCAAACAAACAACGAACACTGACAGCACCTGCTAATTCGAGGTCAGAAATGTTAGAATAGTAAATCCATAATATTCTGATCTCAAATGAGACTAGAGAAAGACAAGCATGCAAACATGCAACAAAAAATCATTAAGGTATTTAAGTAACATGCATTCGTAATTTTATAGTAATGCCATGGGATACTTTTACAATTGATTAAGTGGATATAATTCATTCTGTCCTGTCACTGGTCATCACTGAAAAGAGCCTGGTTTCATCCACTCTGCATCCTCCTTCAGCTATTTGTACACAGGGATGAGTTTATCCCTGGACCTTCTCTTCTGCAGGCAAAATACTCCCAGCTCTCTCAGCCTTTACTCCTAAAAGAGATGCTCCAGTGTCTTCGTCGTCATCAGCATCAGCATCATGGCCCTTTGCTGGACTCTCTCTAGCATGTCCACTTTTCCCTTGTACTGAGGATATGTACACACATGTTGTCTCACATAACATAAACTGACTTTAAAAAGTCAGTTTATTTTTATTTCGTTATCCTACACTCCATTATTTAGCACCCATTTTCAGGAATACTTATAAATTATGAATAATTTACCAGATTTACTTCAAAACTACTATTTCAGTAGTCAAAGAAGAAGAGACTTGGATTAAATTATTCTGCATGACTTCACACATATCACAAATAAATCCCTACAAAAAATCCAAAATGCACAGTGTGCATAAATTTAGGAATTCTTGTGATTATGTCAGTACAGGCTCACAAGGCAACAGCAAGATTGTGTGGAGGACGAGAAATCAGACTCGGAAAGGTTCCAAAAGTGGAGAGAAGTTTATGGAAATTAGGAGAAGACATTGCTAAGTTGACTTCAAGGACTTTAGAATGTTTATAAAACTGTTAATGCGTGCATACATTGATGTACCCCATTTATTCCTATTGCCCAGACATGTTCAGACTTGTTCACCCCTTGTTCCCCTGTTCCTCCCTCTGACTGGCTAGGATTTGCCGCAGTGTGGAGTGACTTGTTATTGGTCCCTATATGTTTCATTTTCCCTTCTACCTTCCTTAATTTGTTCCCTAGTTCGTTCCCTCACCTGTCAATCCCATGTTCCACCTATCTTTCCAGCACCTTCCCCCTGAACCCTATAAAAGCAGGCACCCTCCTTCAATAAACTTGTGATAGCCTCAGACCTTCCACCTTGTAAAGAGCCCTTTATTGCTGTCATCGTCCCATTCCACACCCGGACCGCAGCAAGATTGTTTGCAAGCAGAGCAGCTGAAGAATGCAAATAGAAATAGCCTCCAAGCTTCCATTATTTCTTAGAAAAAGCAACTCATTTGACCTTGTTGAACATTTTATGACTTTATCCGTTGCCAATTTTATGTAATTATCAGTATATTCCTATTAAAATACATCATTTGTGACAAAAACATGCAGTCTATTTTCTGACATGATGTAAACTCTTGCTTTGCAGAACAAAGCATGTTTTTTGAACACCTGAAGAAAAAAATGGCTAAAGTATACAAATAACTATTCCCATGGACACAGTCTGGGGCTGAGATAAATTTTATCAGCTTCATGCTTGCATAATTACAGCTACGTATCACATGGTTTATAATGTATGTGTGGTTGGCCTAATCCACGCTGTCATTTTTCACTTATTTCCTCCTTTGGAAACATGGTGAACTAGTTTACTACTTCTTGTATTTTTAATTCTCTACCTCAGCTTAAAAAGGTTAAAAACATCTTGGATGAGTGTTGGAAAACCACATCATATGCTGGTTATTGTTTTATTAAACTATAATCAGTTTCAGCAAAGACTATGACATTAGTAGAGAACTTATGTAGATTTATACTAAGCATAGTTTACAGAGCTCTTCTAAAGGTATCAATTTATTTAAGTATAAACTTCCAGCTTATGAAGCATTATCCAGAAAGTTTTTTCCCCATTGAACTTCAAAATGTTCATATATGGCATGATGCCATTTATAGATGGCACTAAGTAAAAGCACACCATTTTGAGAAAACAATTTCTATGGTAGTACAGAATATCAGAGACTTGATACAAAATTATAAAAAATGGATTTACAATTAAAAAAATTATTATGAACTCGAGTCTTACAGTAGTCAGTACAGGACCCCTAAATGAAAGGGGAAAAAAGCAACATTTACCAAGTACCATATGATGTAAAAAGACACGTATGTGTATACACAGAAACATAAACATCAGTGGAAGGGAAGAACACACACAGATTCTTTCATTTAAACTCTCAAAAGGAACTTCTACCGAAATATTGGTGATAAGTAGAACCTTTATCAGTAATCAATAGATATTTTTTCCTCTCTGATTTCATTACCTCTGAACTAAAATGTTGTGAATTCCTTCTCATGTGCTACCCCTCTGCTTCTTCTTTAAAACAAAAAATCCTTACATATATGATACTACTGAAACGGTTGGAGATTAGGTGTTCTAAGGAACATATGGAAATACCAAAAAAAATTGAATCAGATTTATGAATATGTTTTTTACAAAAAGTTTCAGGTCCTTAAAAGACTAATCTTTCTGGTTTTCCATACATAAACTTATGAGACAGGCATCTTTGGTTCCAGTGTTAATTGGCTATTTGGATGTGCACAGAGCAAACTGTCAACACCCTCAGAAACAAAAGAATGACAGTATCTAGTTTCTTTCATACTGATCTGTATTCAGAAACAAACAGAAGGAAACAATACACAATAATTTAATTTTATGAATGTCAGGAATGACAGCGCACTCTAATTTTGTATCTGTCTCAAATTATATCTGAGCCAAATATTTCATTTTAAGAGTACTGTTAAATCTTTTCAAAGGCCTTGTTTTATGTGTTCACGAAATAACTCACTATTTTTTAGTTTTCAGGAACAGTAATTGCTGTAAATCTTGTAAATTAGCATGAGTAGTACCAGTAAGACACTCTGTGAAAATTCATCTACATTTTTGCTGGAATATTTATTAAGTACTAAAATATTTAAAGGAAACCTACAACTACTAAAATTCAAATTACATTTCACCTGAGAAAGCCTTTCTTATACCACTTAGTATTATTGTTTTGTCACTGTATAAGGAAGCATCTAATCCAATAACTAATCTTGAGTGGAAAGATTTCTTTTCATTAGACAGCTGAATGAAACCATTATATTAACTGGATATCCCCTATTGTGTTTTATTAGTTTGCACAATAAATTGCACTGTTCACTGTGGTAACTGACATTTTCAACATTTGCACATACGGTAGAAATGTTAGCACCACTTACAAGCTGGTTAGCTCCTGATGGTTTGGTGACCTTCAGAGGTCCTTCAATACACATTTTCCCTGGCTCCTGCTGGAGAGATCACCTCGCATTCTCTCATTATGATCACTCACTTTCCAGCATCCCTTCTGTGTCAGCCTCTTCTAACTGATTCCAGTACAACTGAGTTAGGTAACACCTGTTATTTAAATTTTTAACATTCACCTTCCCTCTTTGCCTCTCTTAGAGCTCATTTATATTCTCTGCTCCAGCCGACGGGTGACAGGATTTGACAGTTTGCTGCATAGACCATACACCAATTCCTTCACATATTAAAAGACATTACTCATGTACAGGCCAACCTCAGAAACTGGATTCTTCCTCCTCTATGAGAAAGTGAGTTGAGAAAAGAACTGCACATACAGACATGACCACTTCTGTTGGTCCTACAAACAAACATAGAGCCAAGAAAAGGGAAGGAACTAACAGCATTTGGCTTTGTACAAAGAAAATCCTTAACACAATATATATTAACCTGTGGCTCTTACCCTGTTCCTGTTTGCAGCTAGTTTAGGAGCAAAATCTACAGAAAACAGGGCTGACCAAAGATAACTCAAGTAACAACTAGAATGGGTAGCAATTCAAACTCATCTCATGGAGAACAATGACATGAACTCCTCACATCCTTTCAGTGGTAAGAAGATAAGCATTTTGCAGAGATAAAACAATCACCACATTGCCCATCTTTTGTGAAAGAAAAGCAAAAAAACACATGTATTTTTATGAGACAACATACCATGTATAAGATGTTTCTCTTTAAACTATTTGCACCATCCTTATAGTTTTGGTGTTTGATTAAAAAACAAACAACAAAACCAAGCAAACAAGCAAAAACCTCAGACAAAGGCAAACAAAATCCCATACCAACAAAAACTCCAAACAAACAAAACCAAAACTGACAGCCTTGATGTTGCAATACACTTTCTCCTGCTTCACGGGAAAGAACAGCTGTCAAAATACTCTGCCCTTAATCCATGATCCACAGGATCTTTCTACATACATCCCTGTAGGCACTGAATGGTGGAAGTCTTTTCTCTTCTGGTTGATATGGCTGTGAAGCAGAGACATTTTTGCAGGCCTTAAAAATAAGTCAACTTGAATTAAAACAGAACAAAGCCAAACTAAAAGAGTCATGTAACATTCAGTTTTCATTTCTCCCTATAAAAGTAAAAAGAGAGCACAAAGTCCTCATTTTGGGATTCTCTGCTATCTAAAACATTGATGCAAAATTTCATTTCAAACAATAAAAAAAGCTCTTGCCAGTAGGAAAGTATTAGTGAGATAGAAAAGAAGAACTTGGTGCAAACTCACAGAAAGAGCAGAAAGAGACTCAAAAGTGCAGTTACAGCCAAGCACTAACCATCTTCCTTACTTACAGCAAGTTTGGAAAAAAAAAGGTTACGGGTTATTAGTCATCTAGTCAGGTTTATTTCAATATATTAGTAAATAAAGGATGGTTAGTTCCTGGTCTCAAACTACAGTAGAATCTCAGGCATTGTCATGGAACTACCAAGTCTTGGGTTGACTGATGGTCAAATTTCAGAATAACCCTGGTCCTACTGAAATAAATGCAAAATTGTTATTTTGAAAGTCTGCAGTATTTAGAAGTTTTAGATTAGTTCTGTGAGCTCTAACTCTCTATACAGCATTGCCTAAAGACTGCACACTGATCACTCCAGTAGTCATCACATTTTCCTGTAGCATGAGGTTCTGAGACAACAAGGCTATAAAGCCAAAACATTCCCTACTGAGGAAAAAAACCCAACAAAACTATTTATTTGTTTATTACTTGTTTTTTCATTCATTTTATATGCCCCTGCAGTGATGACCCAAGTCATACACACCACAACTTGTGGTAACTACGTCAATCCTATCTCACATGGGCTTTCTTGTGAAGCACCTGCATCTTTGGAAGCCTTAATGGTAAGGGGGATACGCTAAAAAAACAGGACATAGCTTTGCTATCAGACAATCGTGACATTAAAAAACATAGTAATAAGCCCTTGCATCACACCAAATAGAACACGTAAGTTCTCTGTTTACATGCACACAGACAAAGGATTGATTTCTCCTCCTCCTCTAGAACGAGATCCAATGACAAGAAACAAGACAAATCATTATCTTCTGATACACTATCATTTAAGTCTCCTCAGTTAAGGTTATAAAGTGTCCGTAGGCAAATAGAAATAGCCAGAAACCACAAAATACTGCTTAGAAAAACTGTCATGGGATTTTTAAATTTATTTATTTACAATTTTTCTGGAAAAGAGGATCATAAGAATATATTGCTAGGGGCACTTTTTACTCAGGGGAAGATTGATACATATTAGAAATGACAGAGAAACGCACTAAACATCAGCAGCACCCTATCTGCATCTGTGTGTTCTGTAGCAGTCCTGTGGACAAATCCTAATAATCTCTGTGAGTCTCACTCTTAAACTTGACAAGACTCACTCCAAAGATCATACAGCTACAGCTACAAGACCAAGGAAGACAATTAGCTTGTCTGTCTTGCAGATCAAAGAGAATAAATTAATATAGAGAGAAGCTACTGCTGATCACCTCAAATCTAATTCAGAGATTACATTCAGATTTGGACTTTGTCTCAACAACTCATCTTTCTTTGCTTGTCATAAATTCCAGTACAAACTGAAAAATGCCCCATATTTTTGCTTTATGTGGAAGGAACATAAGTCTCAAGGAAAGCCTCCTAAAGCTGAAGCCACTATATGATTCTTGAGCAGGGACTTAAAATTTTCTTTAAAGCACAGGGCTATGTAATCTTTGGTGGTCAGCAGATATGAACCCAGGCCTAGTTCTCAGAGAACAGTTGCAAAATCTCGGCTACCACTTCTGAAAAAATAAAAAGCTAAAATGTCAGAAAATGCTTTCAGAAAGTCCATAAACTAAATGTGGAAGGTAGATTTGCAGAGAATGTTAGGGGATTGTTAAGAACAGTTAGCAGAGTGAGATTTCAAGAGAACAAGAACTTGCACAAAAATATTCTGTGAAAAAAAATTAAGAACAAAAAACTATGAGAAGTACACATTGTTATCATCACATGTATGATGCTGGCATGTAAGATATACAATGTATCACCTCACCAACATTAGTATGCCTCTGCACATCATCCAGGACAACAATTTACTGTTTAAATGTTTTACTGAAAGAAGAGAATGACAGATGTGAAAACATATTTATCCTCTCAACAAATGTAGTAGTCTCAGTAGGAGGCAAAAGAATAAACATCACACAAGGCACAGTAAATATAAACTGAAAGTATTTATTATATTGTCACTTCTAATTTAAGGAGATTTAACAGGTATTTCCTTATAACATTCGCATGCCCTTTAGAAACTGTGACAATAGAACAATGTGTTACTGTCTCTCTTTTATTTAGACACCAAATCAGATGGATCAGATAAAAACATGGGCTCACTTGCAAGGCCAATCCCAGTTTGGTAAGCATGTCAGCACACACTGCCTAGGAAGCGTACTCCAGGGATGCAGGGTGAGGCATTCTGGGTCTTGGAGTCTCCAGAGGTACACTGACACATATGAGCAGTGTGTACACTACTGTCATTGGTCCAGGTGAATCACATGCCCCCCAAGGGTATATATTGGGGGGTTTTCTTTGAAATAAAGGATTTTGCTGTTTGCAATCCAAGCTGCCGGGTCGTGTCTTATTATATTATATTAAAAGCCATACACTGGACTGCCATCCAGTAACATGCCAGACCAAAGAGGCTTGAGAATCCAAGCTGGAATGGTAGCACAGAACACAAGCTGGTGATGTTGATCTCGTGGATATGTCATCCACCCCCCCACGACTTCTTTCACTGGTCCCTTTCTCACCTATCTCTTCCCAAATATCCTTCCTTCATATATTTGCTTCCGGCCCTGACCCTCTGCTTCCTTCCTGCTTTCTCCCCAAAATCACTGTCCATGCATCAGAAGGATGGAACTGCAGCTTAAGGCAATTCCATAAAACATCAACAGATTAAATGGACACAGGCGATCTGCCAAGAAAGCTTAGAACAAGACTTCAGATTTGGGGGAAAAGAAAAAGCAACAGAACACCTCTTCGCTCTTGTCCTAGGAGTTGCAATTAGTTTCTACAGTAAACGAAATCCCAGAAAAACAGATGCAAGAACTGGGATGAAGTTGTGGCACACACCCTCAGTCTCAAGAGGCAAGAAGTTTCTGTGTTCTCATCCTCCATGAGCAATTCTCACACTTTAGACATAATCTAAGAGAAAGTGCTCTTGGTGGTAAAAATGTTTTGTATGAGAAGTTGAGAAGTTGTCTGACATTATGCATGTAAGTAAAAGCTGTGGGAGAACTGAGCTTCTCAGAGAAGCTTTATATCTCTGCCCAAAATTCCTCCAAGGAGTCAAACTCCGCCTCAGCTTCAGGCAGGTTTCCAGCCATGCATCATATTTATCTGAAAAACTGTTAAACAAGTTTTGTAAGCTGTATTCAAGCAAGACTCAGCAATAGTTACTCAGCCATGGGCTCATCCTTCCAAAAGCAAAAGCATTCACTGTAGAAATTCCTGCCCCAGTGTCAAGGCCCTGCTCCCCACTTTGAGGAGCCACAGGAGAACATCAATCTGCTCAGTTTTGTGTAACTTTAAATAGGAATTAAACATACAGAATCTCAAAATCTGATCAGGACAAGCCCCAAATTACCCTTGATTCAACCTAAGTACCTTTAGGCAAAAGACATTTTTCTGTTTCATATTTCCAGTACTCCAGTCTGGTTATTTTCAAAGACAAGGACCGCTCGCTCTACAGTAACATGACACCCTTGAGTTGGATTAAATATGCTGTATTCTTGCAAAGTTAGCTATTTTTACACTCTAATAGTCAAAGCAAAAATTGGCATATCGTACAGCCCTAGTCAGAAGTCAAGTTTCCAACTGTGAAAAGAAATACTGTGAAGCAATTGAGAACACGCAGTAGAAAAAAAAAATCCACTACTTTCCCCATGTCTAGGTGATAATGATTTCCTTATATAAAATGTATTGAGTTGCCATTTACAAAATGAACTATTTTAAGGGAGAGATCTGGGCTCCTCTGACAAGTTGCTGAAGGTATCAAATTCTTCAGAGAAGTTTTCCACACATCTCCTCAAGACACAGAATAAGACAAAGATGAGTTATGAAAAAAAAAGATAACATTCTGAGCAAAAGACATTTTTCAAGGTATTTGATAAATACATCAAACATTTGATAAAGTTTGGAGCCACGGAGGATTAAAAATGACAGTAAGTCCACCTAAATTCCAGAGTGTGTTTCTTCAGACATTTAAGAGGAATTTTTTTTAATATTGGGAACAAATATTAAGCTGATAAAAAAGATTTTAGAAAGTGTTCAGGTAAAGCTCTTAATAAGGATCATGGAATTCCTCTGTTAGGTGACTTGAGAGGAGCTAAATGGTGGGCACAGGGAACCAAGTTCATGAATTCCAATGTAAGGAGAGCAAATTTACATTTTCCTAACACAGGCTGGCTGTTTCAGGATCTTATCCTGTAGCCCTCCCACTACCAAAACCCTGCCGCATAAACCTAACACAGCATGAAATTCTCCCAAGGTGTCTTAAGAGTGGATGGAACAAGTACTGTGGGTTATTAAAAAGACATCCTGTTTTAGGGGGAGGGGAAGAAGACACAGAGAGAACATTCCAGGTAGGAAACTGCCCACTATCAGTATCTAGCTTATGCTCCACAAAAATGTTTGGATACACAGATCCACTGCCAAAAGATGTGGCAAATTACTAGCTTGAGATTCCCATTAGGAAGACTATAATTTGTTCAGATCTTGGGCTGCATTTGCAGTCTGCAGCTTGGCACAAACTTTGTTGTGTCTCTACTAAATAAATTCAGTGCAGCATCTTCTGCTTGTCTCACCATGAAAAGTGTATCACTGAAGCATCTCCTCCTACTCATCTTACTCATTTGACTGATAAGACTTGACTCCAGACTTTCTAGCACAACGATCTTGTTAGTGCTTGTAATAAAGATGATGTGAGTCATCACCACTGACACTTCATTTTAAATTCATATTTAAAGTTAACAAGTCAGTATAGCCTGAATTACACAGAAAATTCATAAGCAAGTCCCTGCCCCTTCAGCATTGCCTGACCAAACAGCCAGTTCTTAAACAAAAAGTATCCGTCCTTTGGCAGACATCAGCTCTTTGTTAACCTCATAGACAAAGGGGACAATGCTGAGGCACAATGAATATAATCTGGAGACCACTACCATATTTCACATTCAATATCTTGAACAGTTAACATCTCATGATAATGATCACTGATAGGTGACACGTTCAATTTAACTGGTATATTACAAAAACATCCTGAAAAACTAAGTTTAGACAAGAAATCCGTGAACAGGTCAGTGGAGGAACTGACAGGTGCGTAAGTAAATAAATTAGCTTGACTGAGCTGGGATATTACTAATGAATCAAAATATGATAAGAGATGTGCATAGTTTCATGTGATATGTTTACAGGAGGGTGACATACAGAAACAGGCCCTGATGGAAGTTCCAGCTTTGAGCTCAGAGAACTAAGATATTAAATTATTTTTATATCCTCAGTGATGTCAAAATTAAAATTACACTACTTCACCCCTGTCAACACTGGCATGTCTGCATTAAGTACCTCAGAATGGATTTTTACTGTTCTTTCATCATGGTAAGTGAGAAGTAACCCCATTGGCAGGCATCTTTGTTGTAAAAGACACAGTTAGAAGCTGTTGTGCATGGACTGTCACAAGTGAATTTATAGTCCGACAACACATAAACAAAAAAAACTAGGGTAATACTTGCTTAACAGAGGAACAATCTACTGCTATTAGAGAAAGAAAGTAATAATAACTTTGAGGGCTCTTTTCTGCCCCCTTGTATATTTTGAACCACATATTGTCCTGTTGATGGAGAAACCATCAACTAGATTGCAACCCCCCTGATTAAGCAAAACAAACAAACAAACAAACAAAGTATTTTTTTTTAAGTCCCTTTTTAAACCATAGAAAAAATAAGCACAGGTAGGGCAGAAAAAATAAGGGCAGTTTTTGTTTTTTACTACCATGTAAATTGACTATTGTACCTCCAAGTAAATTTAGGACAAATATGTGATTCTGGGGCTCCAGAACCAAGGAATGACTATTACAATGAGATAGTTCAAAATGCCAGTAATTATAACACTGCTTACTGTAATTATAAATGAAATATGTCTTGGTGTCTGTGATAAAAATATGGAGCTTTACATAGTCCATTTTAGAGAAAGACAGGAAGACAAAATAAATAGTGCAAAATGGCTCTTTCTTACTGTGCAAGTGCTTTATTCTCATAAGGCCTCTAAAGTAGGTTCTGTGTAACAAACCTTCCATTACATATTTCATACAGACTTTTGGCAGGTTTAATTAATGCTGCAAAAGATTAATAACAAGAAATAAAAATTCTGTCAGGTTGAAATATCATTGTCAGACACTTATTTCAGCTGCTGAAACATGGTTTTGTATGTACGAATGTGTGTTCACATCCATAAGGAGTCATTTATATGAAGGTGCAATTTTTGAATTATTTCACGTAAGGTGAAAATAAATTTATCTAGGTATGTTGCCAAAATTGTAATTTTGTCACTATGCACATCCAGCTACAGCTATGCTCAACCTGCTCTCGTGAGTAACATTATAAATTCAACCTTATAAATTTGTGCTCAACTTTTCATAATACCTGTATTTTTTACAACAAAATGGCACTACAGTACTTACAAGTGACTGACCCATCTAATAAGCAGGAACACTGCAAAGAAGTGCCTACAGCACTTTTGTAGTCATGATGGCTTAGAAGCATGAATTATACAGGTACTGTGTTACTTCCCCCTACAATCCTGGTAGTAAACTAAATTATTCAGCCAGAGCTAACAGCCCAAATCTGGATGCACAGGCCCATTTTTGGGTTTCAAACAGATGCTAAAATCATAGTATTTCAATTTAGGTTGAGAACAGTAAATCAAACTGCATATGTTAAGTGTTAATAGGATCTTACGTTAACTGTAAGAGGTTAAAAACATTAATTACACAGTTTTAAAGACATTTTAAAGTTGCATTTCTGGAGCAGTGGCTGACAGAAAGATAACACTCATCAGGGAGACCTTTAGACATAAAGACATTACAGGACAAAACATAAATTTCCAATTATTTTATCGTCTTGTTTATAACATAACATGATATACTGAAATCTACTTTGTGCATAATATTTTAACACCTTTCACAGTAACACCTTGTCTTGAATGTCATCACGGATGATCCTGAAAAACAAAATTAATAAATGCACTAGGCATTAGAAGTCTGGCACGTGGGAAAGAATTTGATTTGTTTCATGTAATAATTTCCTCATGCCCTAATCCGAAGTAATATATATATATGTATTCAGTACTAAAGCTGTAGTTGGACAAGCTCTTTTTGCCAACACTAACTGATGTTGCTGCCAAGAAAAGTGTTAATGTTATTGCCTCCATTTCCACCTTTTTAATGCTACAGCTGTTTCTCACCTTTCAGTGTGCCAGTGTAAGTCTTCATGCCTCTACACAGTGAACTGGACCTGTGAAATCATCATCCACTCAAAAGAACTGCTGGGGGGGGAAAGTGTCCTTTGAATTATGCCTTGCAAAAATTACTTTCAGTGTATATTTACACTTGAAAGTCACTCACTTTCATGCCTTAAGGAAGGCTCACACATTTGGAAGCTTGACTGGTTTTAACAACCGTAATTCTTCTCACTACTCCACTTTCCAACAACTTATGTGGGCTCTTTCGAATCAAGGTAAATATCTTTTACAAGTGATAATTCTTTTAAACTAATATTATTTGTATTGTTTCACTTCAAGGTTTCCAGCCTTTCATGGTGCTAAATAGAGATGCTTCACACACTAACAGTTCTTTTTGCAGTTGAAGACCTCATGTTATTTGTAATACTCTAATCTGTTTATTTTACATTTGTAACATAATACTTACTTTTTGGGAAAAAAAACCTCAACTATCACACAGAAGGCAAGCTAAATTACTCTTATGAAAGACCTTCTTCTATAATTGTGAAATTAGACTAAGACCGACAAATTATCAGAAATATTTCTATTAACCCACAGTTTTGCTAAAAAACATGTAATTAATGTCCATTATATAATGCCACTTATAGCTTCTAGTCAGCCTTTCCCTTTCATTAATTAGCATTTAAAAACTGCTTCATCCTGTGGTTATTACCTGACCTTATGACTGGAAGGAGAGCGACTCCTAACATGAAGCGCAACAACAAAATAATTTATCGTGCTAACAAAAACACAGGTCAATTTCCACAGAAAAATTATAATTTTGTGTCATTTACGATGGCTGTTTTGCCTCCTGAGACCTCCTGAGTTTATGTTGTTAAAAAGTTTTCATGAGGTACATACATCTGAACTTAATCATATATAACTCCAGTAATTAAAAACACCTGTTTCCTTCACTCATAAAAGGGAATTTAAAAAGTCAGTTTTCTTTTATTGGTTCTATCACTGTATTTCAGTGACTGGCAGCTTCAAAGTACACAGCACTGTATGGCCCTATTTATTTTGTAAAATGTAAACTTAAGCTTTCTGTGTTTTTATCTTCCATCAAGATCACACAAAACAGATATTGTGCATTATTTTCTTTAGTTACCTGGGTTTTTTTTCTTACTTGTGTTTCTGCCTTCTAGTTCAAGAACACAAACGTTCTTTGTGGGGGAAAGTGAGCAAGAAAGCAGCACCTGAAAAAATTCATCACCAAGTCATATTCACAAACAGTAAAATGTAATATATTGTTGAATATGAAGAATCTAAGCAATTACAGTAACAGGGGGGTTTTATAGGAAGCAAGGATTGTAGATATAAAAAGATGTATGTTAAATAATAGCTTAAAGATTCAAAGATTTAAAAGATACCACTGTAATCACCCATTCTGACCCTACCCATAACAAAGGGCAGGGAATTTCACCCAGTGACTCCTTCTGTGAGTCCCACGATTTGTGAGTTAGACACCCTTTTTACAAAGGCACCCAGTACAGCATTTACCATCTCCTGTAATAATCTGCCCTGCTACCTGATTATCCTCATTATAATTATTGTACCTAATATTTCTAATATTTTGGAAGATATTATCTTTCATTTCTCTGACAAAAAACAATCAATGCCAGCTGAATCTGTTACTCTAAACTCTTCCTGCATAGCTTTCTCGCACACCTGGACTAGCATTCTTTGTATCAGTTTATGCTTTGAAAGAGAACAGATATGAGTGTTCGCACAAATTTCTTCAGCTCTAGAGCAACTCCTTCTTCTGAAGAAGACTGAAATCTATACAAGACTTTTTTAGCAGATGCTACAACAATGCCAGAACAAGCAGATATCTGAATAAAGTGTTGATTTTGCTTCCATAAAGAGAGGCCAGCATTACAAACCTCACAAGTTCACCTAGTGCAAATTCATTCATATTACAGTTTTGCAATTTATAAAGGAAATCAGTCCTGGAAATTAAACCTATCTTTTTATGTAGTTCCACTTTATGTGAATAATTTCATTTGATACACGTTAAATATTTTAAAAACTCCTCTTTAATCTTGCTTTTGTGTCTTCTGCTTTAACAGACTTTGCCTCCCAATGTAATCTGTAATAATTATTCCTTACTGTTCACAGTGACTGTTTTCCAAAATAGACTCTAAATAAAATCTAATTAAGCCACAGTTCTTGAAGTTCTTTCAGTCTGCTTTTATAAATGTCTTATGTTGTTGAGCATAAAGATCCTAGTTTTCTATCCTCCCTTAGCACAAAACTATGGAGAAAGGCTATGAAAAAATTTGTTTCCTTATAACACTGAGGTGGTAGCATCCATTTCATTTACTGAAGCAACAAAATTCATTTCCTAAAATAAAGAAAAAAAACAGATTTTGTTGGGGGTTTTTTTTGATACTGCATGTAAAAAATACAAATGGAGACCATCAATTTTGGAAATAACTTTGTGGGTGTTTATTATTCCTTTGACAAACATGAAAGGTGCTGAGGGTGGAGGGGTTTTTTTACCTTCATATTGTCAAAGTTTCTTTAAAGTGTAATTTAAGTAATCTGCAATATATTCATTAAAGTTAGTGAGAGTACATAAATCATCAGCATCTATCAATCATGGAGAGAGACTTCTTTAAAAGACCATAGAGTGACAGGATGAGCGGGAATAATTCAGAACAAAAGACAGTAGTATTAGATAGGGTAGTAGGAAGAAATGCTTGGCTATGAGGGTGGTGAGGCCCTGGTACAGGTTGCCCAGAAAAGCTGTGGCCCTCCAAGGACAGGTTGAAGCAATGTGGGTTAGTAAAAGGTGTCTCTGCCCATGGGCTAGAACGAGATGATCTTTAAGGTTCATTCTAACCCAAACCATTCTGTGATTCTATTTTTCGCTCATTTATCGAGATCTGCTAGTTCTACATTAGACGCTGTCCCCTGTCCTTCGCATAAAGGTGGTTCAGAGCCACAAGCTCAGGGTTCAGCCCCCTGCCGCCATTTCCACGCCTCCCCTCAGTCACCACAAAATGGCGACGAGTGAGGGCGGGGACTCTCCCACCGTCGTGCGCGCGCGTTGCTCGACCAACCGCGGGCGGTGACCCGACCCCACGTGACACCCTCGGAACTACAACTCCCGTCATGCCCCGGCGCTCCCTACTTCCTCTTCCGGTTCCTCCTTAGTCACACCGCGCTCGGGAAGGTCGGGCAGGGCGGACGAGTTGCCACCGAGACCTGTCTGTATCATGTTGTCCGCCGGCGTTCGCCGCTTCGCCACCTCCGCCATCCGCCGCAGCCACTATGAGGAGGGACCTGGGAAGGTGGGCAGGAGCGTTTCGGCCCGCTCAGAGTCGTGGGGGATGGGGGGGATCGGGGATGTCTGTGTTGGCCGCCCTGTGATCACCTGCTTCGTGTGGCTTTGGGGTGGCGCTGTGCTGCCATAACACCCACAGCACACTAATCCCTGTGGTGCTGGCCCCCAGCGCCCTTCCCTGCGGTGGTACAGATGATGAGCATTGCGGTATGAGCAGCAACAATGATACTGTAAACGCTTTCTGATGTACCTTGTACTGGGTGGGTTGTCTCAAAGCCCCGCGTCTAAAAACTTAATTTTAAGCGTATCTAATGGAAGTGAGGAAAACCTTCACGGGGCAAATAATTAAATATTTGCTGTGGGGAGGCTGTGGATGTGTGTCCTCAGGACAGGGTGAGACCTGCAGCAAAATGGCTCCGCTTTGGGCTGCAGATAGAGACGACAAAGTGACCTCCAGAGATCACATCCAGAGAGTGTTAAGGTTTGCAATTCTAACCCCCTACCACGGGCAGGGACGCCTTCTGCTAGCCTAGGTTGCTCCAAACCCTGTCCAACCTGGCCTTGGACACTTGCAGGGATGGGGCAAACTGTGCCAAGGCCTCAGCACCCTTACAGGAAGAATTTCTTCCATAAATCCAGCCTTAATTCCCTCGCTTTCAGTTTGAAACTGTTCCCCCTCGACCTGTCACCACAGTTGTTGAAGTCTCTCTCCAGCTTCTCTGTAGGTGCCCTTCAGATGGTGGCTGATTATTCATCATCACAAACACTGTGTTTCTTTCACTGAAAGGAAGGGAAACTACTTAGAAATGACATGTTTATTTTACCAGCTTGTCTCTACCTGTTAGTGCTCTGAGTTTCTCACCGTTTTCAAGTCAATGAGAGAGCAATTAAACTGCACAGATTGCAAAACTAAAGCTCCCTTTTCTCTTCCAGAACCTACCTTTCTCTGTGGAGAACAAGTGGCAGCTGCTGGCGCTCATGTGTGGGTTCTTTGGAAGTGGATTTGCTGCCCCTTTCCTCATAGTCAGACACCAGCTCCTGAAGAAATGAAGGGCACAGACTGTAACTACACTAACTGGGTAATTGATTTTATTGCTTTTCACAGCACAGTGGAATTTGAAGAGCCTGGCCTCATCAAAAAACATTGTAATTTTCAGCCTTTTGCAGTCCATGTGCTCACAGTTGTGGTCTGCAGTTGCATCATAGTGGTTCAAATAATGGACAGGTTTTAGTTTGTGTCACAGAGCTGCTGCACTCAGTGGTTTGTGAACTTTGCCTCCCAGAGGCCACATCTCTGACTGTAACTAGAGCCATGTCTGCTTTCACCTTTGAGGAAACACAAAGGTATACCTGACATGACCTGTGGGAGTAACTGGCATGGGTGATGTGACAAAACAGGATAAGAAACTGTAATGCTGTAAATGTTTTCTGATGTGCCAGATAAAGAGCAGTAGAAAACAAGATTTCTTAAACTTCTTCAGCCATATCCAAACAATTGTACCAGCTACATCATTCCTGACTAGCTCTGGGCTAAAGTCCACTTGAAAAAAAGTCATTAACAGAAATTAATTGATGCTTGCTGATGGTCTTAGCAAAGCAAGTCTCAGACATGACCCAGACTTGCAGTTAAAAGGCTACTTCAGTTTGTCCTGATACCATTCCACCTTGGAAATATCTGGTCTTGTCAATTCTATAATCTGAGAAACATGTTTTTCAGAAACTGGAATAACCCAAGTAGTTCTTGGAAGGAAATAACAGTCCTCACTGGCATCTCATAGTTGGAATAAATTGAAGTTATCTGTGTAATTTCTTTGCCAGTTTGATGTTTTTGAGTCCCTGGACTGAGGAGGAAACAAAAATCAGCAGACTTTTATTGAACTTCAGCATTTAGAACTGTATGGCTTCATGTAAGTCAAGGCCTCTGCAAAACCAGGTGGTGGATGAAGCCAAGCCCATCAAAAATTCTAATTAAAGTATGTGCTTATAGCTGTTCTATATTCAAATAATAACTTGTAGTTTTATTTGTAATGGTAATGTAGAGTTCCTAAATTTGGTTCATTTCTTTTCCTTGCAGAGTTGGAAGTCTTCTACCCATCACCTTTCAGTGGGAGAATGATAGCTGCAGTACAAGCTGGATGGGTCTAAATAAAATCTTAAATCTGAAAGCCTTGGGCTCTGTATTTTATGCAACTTCTAAAGTGCTTTTGACAGCTGATGTATTCTGAGAACCCCTTCAAATTGCAGTGTATTGCCATTAAACACTAATTTTTGTTGTGTACAGAAACAGAGGGTAAGAAAAATTAACATTTCAGAAATGCAACTGGGCAAATATGTGGTTTGCTATTAATACTTTCTTTACAAAGAACTTTCAGTACAATTTTGTAAGCTTTTTAATCTAATGCGCTCAGTTAATTCAGGATTTCTTGAGTACAGATTATACAATATTGCTGGTTTTGATCTGTGCAGCTTTGCAGCTGATAGTTGGTATTTTTTTTTATGTAACACCTGGCCCACCGGAAGTTTCAAAATGAGAAACCACATTCTCCATTCATGGCAAACTGTGCTGCCAAAGCGGTAATTAGTCCCTTTAGAACCAGACTGTTTCCCTGGGTGAGTTGTTCAGGCAGTTTTCAGTAATTTTCAAGCCCCATCAATTATCAAGTCTGGAAGTTCTCTGTCTGACTTTAGTAATTGGTTCCCTTAGGATTTCAGAACTTTCCCTTTGCAACAGAAACACATTAAGAGGTCTGGTCTGGTCTGTCTGTCTGTTAATACAAACTGGGACAGTCTGCATTCTACCCAAAGGCATTTTTTACTACTGGATTATCTATAATGTTATTGCTGTTCAACAAAGCAAAATCTAAAATTCATTGGTTTGGTTGCTTGAGTGGAAAATGCTGGCTGTCATTGAGAGAGATGTGGCTCCTATCATTCATATCAGATGTTGAACAGTGTTTAATTTCACAGAAGCACAACTCCAGATTGTATTTGTCTGTCTGGCTGTATGAAATCACTGCTTATAGCAGGCTTGATTTTGGGAGCATGTGTCAGTCTAGAGCCTCTTCCTCTTAAACCATATTAGTTGTTTATCTGTCTATTCATTTGACTGCTGTTCTTCAAATTTATGTTGGTCTTTAACCCATTCTGTGGTTTATTTTAAGTCCCCATACTCTTTTATTTGTTTGTTTGCTGCTAAACAGACGAACCAGAAAACTCTGGTGGATTTTTTTACTCACCTCACTTTCTCATTTAGGAAGGACTTCTCTAAACACATTCCCACCACAGATATTAACATGGAAATACCCAGCCCTGAGTGATTGTAGAGACAGAAGTATCACTATTAAGTATGCAGAATGAACTGATAATTAATGATAATAAGTGGAATAGGTAGATTCATTAAAACCCAGCACTGTAGAATTAAGTTGTGCAAAACATAACAAGTGTGTTCCATCACACTCAGCTGTATAATAGTCTGAGTACCCAATGAAATACTTATTTTTAAAATAGCCTTTTGGATTCCCTTCACGGCACCTTGACTTGGTAGGAGATAAATCAATTGAAAAAACAAGAAGTAGAAAAATAAAACCCTTGCAGGTTTGATGTTACAGCCAAAAAGCAATATGTAAGTGGTGCTTCTCTGTCATTAAAACTGTGTGAAGGAAACAAGGCAGTGGTTAAAGGACCTCTGGGAAATAACACATCTGGGTGAATTATTCTATTTTTTACTTGCTAGATGCCACTTATAAGGAAACTCATTAATGGTCCCAGAGTTTTTCCCAGTTTTCCTGATATAATTTTCCCTTTCATGAATTCTGTTTTGACACAAACTCAAAATTGTTTCACTTTACTTCCAGAGAGCTTCACACTTTACCATTTTATTTCTGTAAGGTATAGTTCTCAAGCAGTTACTCAGTTAAATCTGAGCAGATGTGAATTAGGTGTCCCTATGTTTTAATACTTTGAATGGTTTTAGTTTGGGGATCTTTCTGTTGTATGCTGGGACAGCTCTGGAAGGACTTACGTTCAGTTACATGGAATGGGGTAAATATTTTGATGTGATGAAAAATAATATATTATTTTCAAATCAACTGATTATGGAATTTCTGCTCAGCAATTAACTTGACAGTGTATCCTGTTCAGATCCCATTTTCAGAAAGCAATGGGAATTTGACTCCCCCCTCCTACGCAGTGAACAGAAATTTTAGGTCTTGTTCAGTTGTGTCTTGAAGCATCTGGTATTAACCCACACTGGAGACTGGATGCTGGATTTGATGAACCACACTCAAGTGCGGCTTAAAAGTGGTGAACCACTCCAATAAGAGTGTGAGTTACTTATGAAAATTGTTTTAATATCTTATTGCTGCTAATTAAACAGTGGGGTGAAAATTAAAAATATTTTCCAGTGTAAGTTCCCAGCTACTCCTTTCATGTTTCTAGCAAGCCTGAGATTGTTTTATTTCTGTTTGAGTTTGACATAGGAACATGAAACAAAATTAGAGGTTTATAAGCAAATTGGGCTGGAGGAAGAAAATATGAAACTAGAGATTTTGGTTGTCAGGACAATCGAATTAGCAGCCATTCTTATTGAACATGAGCTGTAGATGAGAGTTTGGACAGCATTGCACAGGTTAACACATTCAAGCTCTTTTTATTATTTAAAGGTAGGGTCATGTACACATTACACTTCATTGCCTTGGTGTAGTAACATCAATGGGCATTTCTCAAAAAATTAAATAGAATTATTAAGGAAAAAGGAATAGAAATATTTGCTGCCTCCATGAAATAGTAATTGATTGTTCTCAACTTTATGATCAAAAAAATGAAGTTATATAAAGTTATATATAGACTCTGGGTGTCCAGTGCTATAGAAATATTCCTACCTGTTCTCACCTCAGTGGAGTACATTAAACAACCATAAGAAGTTATTTGTAATTATTGTTTTAATGTGTGAAAATATGTGTAGTGGGGGCAAAACAAATTAAGTCTCTGGATTGCTTAACTGGAAATTGGAATGTACATCACAGGAACCCAATAATATATTAGTTTATTGTTACTGGTATTGTAATTACATCTTCAATTATCACAAAAAGACATGGGTTGAAAAATAGGAAGAATGGTGTAAGTTTGGGTTATGTGATACTGGAAAAACAGACTTTGGAGTAGCATTGGCTGGTTTATGGCAGATCCAGGTGAAAGGACAGCGACAGTGAGACCCCCTGAACAGATGGGAACTGGTGCAATTAACCACTGTTTCAATTAAGTAAAACATAAAGGTAGAATTTCCCCTCCTCTGACCAGCTCCCCAGCGAGCTTCTGTTTGCTCTGATTGCAGTGAGAAGATAAATGTTAGTTGCTTTCTAGCATGATAGGTCAGTAAGTTTGACTTGCATTTAAATGAGTTTAAACTAATAGTATTTGCTGGAATTAATGTGATCCACTGTTCCATTTTCCTTTTTGGTATTCCATGAATAATATTAAGTTCCTGTGGTTGTGCCACCTTTTTCCATTAGCTGTGTAGAGCATGCAGCTCTTTGAAAAATGACAGTGTATAAATAGTGTTGCTGAGAACCCAGCTAAGCCAGAGCCAGCAACAAAATGTACCCTTGAAAATGAACCTTGCTGGTGATGCCGTAAGGTCCATCTGTTTTTTTCTTATTTTCCTAATTTTGTAAGCTTTATAAGTAGTTAAGTAGTAAAAGTAGATTTTAGAAGCAGCAGCCCTTATTCCTCTACCCTTTAGCACAGTAGTTTACACATTCCCCTACCCCATCACCCCATTCCATGCTCGCATATCAATATCCCCTGAATTCCAGTAGAAAATGTTTAGTCTCTCTTTAAGAGTAGGCCCTTTTGTTTAGAGAAGACTTGTACCTTGGCCTAAACCACAACAGTACAGTCAAGAACTGGGTGAACGTGTGCCCCCTGTACCCCGAAGATGATGAAGATGATGAAGAAGGGCTCTCAAAAAGCCCCTAGCCCCAATTCCCAAGAGGCGTGACTAAGGGCAAAAGCTACGGGATGGACAAAACTTGGATTGGTCAGGCAATATTATAAATTGTAATATCTCAGGCACGGAAGCTGCACGTCATGTAATCTCTATGCCTCAGAGGCACAAATTAAAATCCTTTCCTTATCTCACCTCCAAAACTAATTTGCCTTGGAGTTTTTTTCTCCCTGCATTTTCTTTAGGCAACACTAGTGAAAAAAACGCTTGTAAAAATCATGTATATAACAATTATGACAGGTGATGGAAGGACAGAGATGAGAGGGAAGGGTGTGGTCTGAGATTTGGGTTCTTTTTCTAATTTTTTTTTTAAATTCAAAATTCTTGATGGTTCTTTAGACTAAGTGTAAGGGGAAAAAAAACCCAGAAAAACACAACTCCATAATTCTGGACTAAATGAGATTTTGTAAAGATGAGGAGAAAGATCTCTTCCTCAGGAAAGGGAAAACCTGCTAGCCACCATCAGCATGGATATTTAATGGTAATAAGTGGGATAGATAAGATCTGGGCCTTTGTAGTTAGCCAAAGCTGTTGCCTGAAACAGTGGCAGGATGGGCTATTGGGGGGGGAGGGAATCAACATAAATATATGATCCATTAATATAAATGAGCAATTCTTTCTCCATGTGTTCCTGAGCCTTCCATGTAATTGTAAGTAAAAGCTGAGGAAGATGTAACCTCCCTAAAGAAGATCCATCTCTCTAATTCCTTGTCTGGCAGGGTTTTCTCTGACAGCCCGAAGCAGCGCTGCTTCTCCTTCACATTTGTTTTTCCAGACATGATGCTGCCCTCTGAATCCAATACTGCAGAGACTTGTTTTCTGCCAAACAGCAGGATTTAAGTTAACTATTATCTCAACCTGCTGTCCGAAGCTATAACTGCCTTTTTATATCTTAGTCAGAAGTATTTTGGTGCTGGCTTTACAAAGCTGCGTGTGGAGGGGATGGGGGTTTTTTTGGAGGGGTGGGGGGAAGGCTTGCTACCCTAAATAAGGTCTTTTTGATCATATTCTGAAGTGGCAGCACAAAGGGAGAAGTATTCTGCAAAAAAAAGATAATAGGTACTGCATAATTTACCTTGTTAGGCCCAGTTGAAGTGCCTCTGCCCAGTACATAACCTAAACAGAGGGTGTGGGCACTGACAGCCCGTCTGCAGGACAATT